CCTGTAATCCTAGCTACTTAGGAGGCTGAGAGGCAGGAGTTCAAGAACACCCAGGGCAACCTTAATGAGATCCTGCCTCTAATATATTTTTAAATAAATTAATTAATTTAAAAACAAAGAAAATAACTATGGTATATAATATAGATCTCTTCTGCTATAGTTTACCAAAGTGATTATATAACAATGAGATGCCAATTAGTTCATAAGCTAGGACAGTAGTGATAAATCATAAATCAGTCATCTGGATCTGGTAACACAGATTTCAAGATGCAAAATAAGGTCTAAAGAATAGATGTTTGTAGTGTCACATCAGTTATATAGATATAAAACTCATTCTGCTCTCTATAAGGATAAAAACTTTTCATTTTGATCTTTTAAAAAATTTTAATAGGGGTACTCAAAAGAAACACGTAGTGGAAGAATTACAAGTTGAACATCCCTTATCTGAAATATTTAAAACCAGAGGTGTTTCAGATTATTCTGGATTTTGTAATATTTACAGAAGCATATCATTTAAGAATCCCTAATTCAAAAACCCCAAATCCAAAATGTTCCAATGAGCATTTCCTTTAAGAATCATGTCAGTGCTCAAAAGTTCCAGATTGTACAGCATTTCATATTTCGGATTAGAAATGTTCAACCTTTAAAAATACCAGAGCAGTCAAATTTCTTAAAAAAGGAAAATCATGCCAAAGCTCTGAAGTAGCTCACAACACAATATTAAACCTGCCGAACCAAAACCTGACTCTAACACTTTGTAGTCTTGATGTTTGCAAGCCAAAACACATAGTTCTATTAAGACTCTGATGACTACACTAAGTTAACATTCCAATACTGACATGTGTCACTTAAAGACATGAATACATTCTTAAAAATGCATCATCAGGCGATTTCCTCATTGTGTGAGCATCATGGAGTATACTTACACAAACCTGAATGGTACAGCCTACTAAACACCTAGGCCATAGACGACTGCTCCTAGGCTACAAACCTGTACAGCATGTACTGTACTGAATACTGCAGGCAATTGTAACACAATGGTGTTTGTGTATCCAAACATAGAAAAGGTAAAGTAAAAATATGGCATTATAATCTTAGGGGACCATTGTGGTGTATGCGGTCCATTGTTGACCAAAATAGCACAATACAGCACACAACTGTACACTAATAAACTTCTAAGATGGCTATTTTGGCAAACAGAGGCAATTTTTATAAAGTTTGAAAGGTAACTTGCATATCTGAGATCTCCAGCAGCCAAATGGGCTGCAAAATGCATATAAAAATTATATCAGATCTCTACTTTTAAGGAGGATAGAACGAAATTATAATGGAGTATGCAAGAATGTACAACTGTTTTAACATTATAAGAGTGAGCAAAACAATCACTATATCATTCTAAAAAATAGACTCTATTTGAATTTAAAAGATAAGCCATTTGCAGCAGCCAGGGAGATACAGTGCTTGGATCTTCAAGAAAGAACTTGTCCTCAGCCTCTGGCTATGGCAGCTTTGGGATCCATCACAAATCCATGGGGACACTCTTTCCAGACAACTCCCAACCAATGACTGAGAAGTATGATCACTAGGACCCTGGCTATTTCTGCTCAATACAGCATTCCTCAAATGGCAATCTTTGATTGGAGCTCCCCACTGGGTTGGCTGTCAAATTTGCATTGCAATCTGAGACTTTCTTCCTCCACAAATGTCAGATTTGCATTTAGTGTAAAGACTTTCCCTGCCCAATCCTGCCTCATCACCTTTATTTTTATAGACCTTGTCCCACAATAAACCTCTTCCATTTCTAATTTCATCTCAGAATCTTCTCAGATGACATGCCAAGATAATGACCTGAATTGACACACCACTTCTCTTACAAAGATATAAGCAGTCTCCCTACTATTTTACAAATGTATCTCTCACTTACATATATATATATATATATACATACATACACACACACACACACATAACCACATCCTTAAGCCAACCAACTTAAGAAATTATTCTATAGGTTAAATCTATAAAACTTACTCTAAATTTTTGAAGTACTCTAAATTTTTGAAACTTACTCTAAATTTTGAATATACTTCAAATACAAGGTATATTTAATATTTCAACATTATTTTAATCTAATTTCCATCTTTTTCTTTTTACCACTTATTTTTCAACTTCAATAACTATAGGTATTAAAGGAACACACATCTTTTATCATGTAACTAGCCCTACAGAAGCATCTATATTATACTTAAACCATTCACCGTTTCCAACAGAATATGCCAGTTAAGTGGTCATAAACAATAATTAACTATAGGACATTAAAGCATACCTAGGAACAAGAATAATGCAACCTTATATTTTAAATAACACTTTAGAATTTACAAAGCATTTCTACAAATATTATCCCACTGGATTCTCAATCCAACTACAGTTGTTTCCTTATCAATAAGGAAAAGGAGGGTCAACGAGGTTATCTGTCTCAAGTCAGAACAAGAATCCAAATTTGTTGCTATTAATGTAATTGATCCCAAACATAGGCAGTTGACTAACACAACTGATGCTGGTCTATATTTTCCATTATTTATTCCTGTCACCTGAATAATAATAATAATAAAAAACCTTCAGTTTCTATCTTGCCATTATCAAAGACCAAGGTACCATAGAACTGCATGAAAACAAATATTTGAGTAATCTCTTAAAAAATAAGATTAATAAAATTTTTAAAATATTTACTCACAAGTCAAGAACACTAAGAAAAAATACATACTACCTTGGAAGTCAGTTTAGATGATTCTCCCTGGATAGAATTTAACTCATAATGTTTGAAAATTATAGAAAGACTTTTGTGATTATTAAAGCCATAGAAATGGCAACATAAGTTCTAAATTAAATCAATTAATTACTTAAAGTTTTAAAGGCAGTCATGTCCATATAATATCAAGATACAAAATAAACTTACATGACACTTCAGAAAGTATAGTCTTTTTGCTTCCAGACACAGTAGAAATGTCAAAACACTTAATCTTCAATTTCTAGCCATCTCCAAGGAAATCAGCAAGGTCTAAGGAGCAAAACCCAACAGTCCCAAAGGTAACGGAGCTGAAGGACTTGAAATAAGTGACTTGGCCTCTCTATATTTTCCTCATCCATAAAACAAAGCTATTATTTGTCAAATCTACCTCAAAAAGTTATAAATAACAAAATGCGATAATGAATATGAAGATCTCAGTAAAATGAAAGGTACAATTAAAAACCAGCCATTTGTTAAAAATCTAATGCAATGGTTTGAAGTTTCCAAGAAACCTCTCAATGAAGCTCATGAAAATCTCATCAAAAGTCCTTTTAACGGGAGGCTGAGGCAGAAGGATCACTCGAGCCCAGGAGTTTGAGGTTGCTGTGAGCTAGGCTGACGCCACGGCACTCACTCTAGCCCGGGCGAGCAAGACTCGACTCTGTCTCAAAAAAAAAAAAAAAAAAAAAAGTCCTTTTAATTGCCATGACCCTGAAGAAGAGGGTTCCTTTGAGTAAAACCAGGATGAAATATTAAAAGAACTTTGTACCATACTATAATAGTGCATATTGTCAAATCTGATCAGTCACCTGTGCTGCTCTGCTAACAAAATCAATTTATATATACTTTACAAAACTTCATAACAATGTAGAATGTCCTCTTTTCTTTTTTTTTTTAGTGATAAGGTCTTGTTCTGTCACTGGGCTGGAGTTCAGTGGTCCAATCATAGCTCACTATAAACTTGAGTTCCTGGGCTCAAGTGAGCCTCCAAGTAGCAGGGATTACAGACACATGCCACCATGCCTGGCTAGTTTTTATACTTTTATCTGTAGAGATGAGATCTCATTGTGTTGCCAGGCTGGTCTCAAACTTCTGGGCTCAAGTGATCCTCCTACCTCAGCCTCCCAAGTTACTGGGATTATAGGCATGAGCCATGATGACCAGCCAAAAAAATTATTCTTAAGTACCTGCACATTATTTGCCAACATTTTAAACAAAATCTGATCTTTTTTTTATTATTTTATCCCGCCCAGCCAAAAAAATTATTCTTAAGTACCTGCACATTATTTGCCAACATTTTAACCAAATATGATCTTTTTTTTATTATTTTATCCCCGCCCACCAAAAATCTGACATTTTTGTAAGACTATTGATGTCAATGTTTAAGAATTATCAGAAGTGCTGGACGTGGTGGCTCATGCTTGTAATTCTGGCACTCTGGGAAGCCAAGGCGGGTGGATCATTTGAGGTCAGGAGTTCGAAACCAGCCTGAGCAAGAGCAAGACCCTGTGTCTACTAAAGAAATAGAAAGAAATCAGGCCAGGAGCAGTGGCTCACGCCTGTAATCCTAGCACTCTGGGAGGCCAAGGTGGGAGGATTGCTCGAGGTCAGGAGTTTGAAACCAGCCTGAGCAAGAGCGAGACACTGTCTCTACTGTAAATAGAAAGAAATTAATTGGCCAACTAATATATATAGAAAAAATTAGCTGGGCATGGTGGCACATGCCTGTAGTCCCAGCTACTTGGGAGGCTGAGGCAGAAGGATTGCTTGAGCCCAGGAGTTTGAGGTTGCTGTGAGCTAGGCTGACGCACGGCACTCACTCTAGCCTGGGCAACAAAGTGAGACCCTGTCTCAAAAAAAAAAGGCCAACTAAAAACATATAGAAAAAATTAGCTGGGCATGGTGGCACATGCCTGTAGTCCCAGCTACTCAGGAGGCTGAGGCAGTAGGATTGCTTGAGCCAGGAGTTTGAGGTTGCTGTGAGCTAGGTTGACGCCATGGCACTCTAGCCTTGCAACAGAGTGAGACTCTGTCTCAAAAAAAAAAAGAATAATCAGAAGGTTAATCATCAAAACATTTTTGGACATATAACCTATAAAAGTAGGCTTTTATATTCAAATTAAAATTTCAATAAAGTTATATATTAACAATCAGTATACATTTAATAAGATTCATTTCTACTGCATTAGGAAACATTATCTATTGTACTTACTTCTGTATAACATTTTGCAAGCTCAACATCATACCCAGTTCTCCTTTCATCTTTTCTCTGTTCGCACGGCATTCTGCCAAGTATCGAAGAGCCTACAGCAGAAACAGTAATAGGTTAATTCACCTGTCCCGACTACTCAAAATTAAAACCACCACTAACTTACAGCAAAAGAAAAAGAGAGAAAAACAGGTTTTGTTTTTAGACTCAACTGGCATTCAAGTGTGTAGAAACTCTCCTTTAAATGTGATAACCAGAGCAATTCCTTAGGGAAGAAATAATCCTCTTAGCTGAAGTAGCTGAATCTGCTCTTTGAAATGAAGGTTCCTCATTTATCTGCAAAGTCAAAGTTGGGTTGTTCTGGTTTTATTTTCACCACTTCATCTTGACAATGATACAAGGAACTATATGCCATTTATTAATTTCAGGGAGCAGTCCCAGTAGCAGTCATTTCCCTAAAGAAATTTCATACATTAATTAAAATAAATTGCTAAGAGGGAGAAAGCATATAACTACCTTTATGGAATGAACTGATCCTCCTGGTTTTACGACAATTCACCTTCAAAATGTATTTTTTTTTTAATTGAAAAACAAGAGATGGACCGGCGCGGTGGCTCACGCCTGTAATCCTAGTACTCTGGGAGGCCGAGGCGGGGGTAGATCGCTCAAGGTCAGTAGTTCGAAACCAGCCTGAGCAAGAGCGAGACCCCGTCTCTACTAAAAATAGAAAGAAATTAATTGGACAACCAAACATATATATATAGAAAAAATTAGCTGGGCATGGTGGTGTGTGCCTGTAGTCCCAGCTACTCCGGAGGCTGAGGCAAGAGGATCGCTTGAGCCCAGGAGTTTGAGGTTGCAGTGAGCTACAATGACACCACTGTACTCTAGTCAGGGTGACAGAGACTCTGTCTCAAAAAAATAAAAAAGAAAGAAATGTACAGGCCAGAAGACAATGCAGTGAATCTGTTAAAGTACCAGGGGAAAAAATCACTAGCAAAACTTTATTACAAGAAATGCTGAAGGAAGTTCTTCAGGCAGGAAAAATAAATGACACTAGTAGAAATTTGAATCTATATTAAGGAATGAAGAACACCATAAATTGTAAAAATGAAGTAAATATAACATTTTTAAAATTTTAATCTCTTTAAAAGATAACTGTTTAAAGCAAAATAAATATATACTGTAGGTTTTTAAACACATGTAGAAGTAAAATGTATGACAATAATGGCACAAAGGATAGGAGGAAGAAATGGAACTATACTCTTGTATGATTCTTACACTATACATGAAGTATGTGATCCATTTAAAGGTCGACTGTGACAAGATAAAAATGCATATTGTAAAACCTAGAATTACCACTAAATAAAGGCAAAAGGGTATACTAATAATAAGCCAATGGTGACAATAAAAAGAGAATTATAAAAATAACCCACCTGTTCTTCAACCAGATTGGGAACTTCCACACACTGAGCCTTCTATTCTCTTGTTAGCTCTGTCCCTCCCTTCCTATTCAGCCTACCACCGACATTCTATCATTTCATCCAGTCTCTTGCCAAGATTCTAAACTCCTTTGCATAGTTGTTCTGTCAAACTTACCTGGCCAAATCTAACTATCTGGCTCTCAGGGACTATAGCAGGCCTGAAGCAGGGAAAAAAGGAGTTTCATAACCAAGTTGTAAGTATCATATCAATTCAGTGTTACCAAACTAATCAGCCCCTCAACACTGTCGAACAACTTTACCATTCTCCTGAGTTAGCAATGTTTCCCATTTTCTGTAACTATGACAGTCTTCTCAAACTTCTCCCACTCTAGTAGCCCTTGCCTTCTGAACTTAGACATGTTCAAGTCTAATCTATTAAAAATATAAAATTTTAAAAAAGACTTCCTTTAGTCCCAAGTCCCTAACTAGGGGACATGCCATTTTTCCCATTTGTTACTACTGTTCTCTATCAATGCCTCTTTTGCCCACTAAACTTCATGCTGAGAAGGCAAAACAGGAAATTCATATTACATAACTTTGATTTTCCAAAAGAAAAAGCATATATATTTTTTATACAAAGTTATGAAATTAAACTAAATGGGGAAATTTATGATTCATTAAGTAAAGGCAGATGAGTAAAATTTCTATTAATTTTCTTTTAAGCTTTTTTTGTCATGAAAATTTTAGAACACACAAAAGTAGAAAAAATGTGTGGGTGACCTCATGTATTAATCATTCAGCTTCAACAATTATCAACCATCTGGCAATTTTGATTCACCTATCTCCCATGCTCATATCCACACTAGAGTATTTCATAGCAAATTTCAAAGAATGTATCATTTCATTTGTAAAAAATACTTTAGTACATCTCTAAGAAATTATTTGTGGCCAGGCATCAGTGGCTCACGCCTACAGTTCCAGCACTTTGGGATGCTGAGGCAGGAGGAACATTTGAAGCTTTGAGTTCAAGACCAGTCTAGACAACATAGCAAGACCCTGTCTCTATAAAAAAAATTATAAGAAATTAGCCAGGCATGGTGGTATATACTTGTAGTCCAAGCTACTCAGGAGGCTAATATAGAAGGATTGCTTGAGCCAAGGAGTTTGAGATTGCAGTGATATTAATCATGTCACTGCACTCCGACCCGGGTGACAGAGTAAGACCCTCTCTCCAAAAACAAAAAAAAATTATTCATTTATTTCATTTTTATTGTTGTTTAAGATACCGTTTACTAATGTGTTAATGTTTCAGCAAAGTTATTGCAATGAGTTTAAAAGGCAGGCAAACACACTATTAAAGGCTGTAAACTAACAAAAGAGGTTTACACATTTAAAATATTACACAAGTGGTATACTAGACACTGCAGTTTCAAAAGAAGGGAGGGTGGGAGCAGGTGAGGGATGAAAAATTACCTGTGGTATAATGTACATTATTTGGGTGAAGGGTACCCTAAAGCCCTGACTTCACCACTATACGGTATATACACATAATGAAATTCAACTTGTACTCCCTAAATCTATTACATTTCTTTAAAAAGAAAAAAATAAATATTGTATAGACACATGGGATTTATTGAATGACCATCAGACCCATAAGAGAAATTCAATCTGGGCCCGGTGCAGTGACTTACGCCTGTAATCCTACCACTCGGGGAGGTTGAGGCAGGATTGCTTGAGCTCAGGAGGTCAAGACCAGCCTAAGCAAGAGCGAGACTCTGTCTCTATTAAAAATAGAAAAATTAGCTGGACTACAGCCTGTAGTCCCAGCTACTCAGAAGGCCAAAGCAAGAGGATCATTTGAGCTCAGAAGTGTGAGGCTGCAGCGAGCTACGATGATGTCATTGAACTACCCAAGGCGACAGAGTGAGAGTCTGTCTCAGAAAGAAAAAAAAAAAGAAATTAAATCTGAAAGAATTAAATCCAGTATTAGCCATTATAGCTCTGAAAGTAAAACTTTTAACCATTTCACTCTCCTAATATATTTCTTAACTTTCTCCCAAATATAATGCTCTCAAAGATGAATGAAAGGCATAAGAATCCCCAATGCTAAGAACTATACAGCTAAATGAAGAACTAGAAATATTCTTGGACTTGTGAGCTCTACTTAGAAATAACTTACTTACTACACTTGAGCCAATCATAAGATTTCTGTGCATTTAATACTGCATGAGGAAATTCTATTAGTCATACGGTTCACCAGTCGGAATAGTTAAAAATTAGCAATGTACAGTATTATTTCTATCACTTTTTTTCTCGTAAATTATACTTAAAACAAAAAATTAAATGAAATATTTATTATACTTGCTTATTACAGATTCAGGAACATGTATGTCTTTGATGTCTTAGCATCCACTTATTTGTGCTTACTTATTTTTATAATAAATAAGCAACACATACCACATCTTACCAATATTCAAGGTAATGCAGTAATAACAAAGGTCTCCAGAGAAAATGACTAGAAATTGCATTAAATACTGCTTTAATTAGGAATTTATTTTTTTAAAGATTAACTTCATGAAAATATTACTATTATAATTCACTAAAAAAGCAAAAATGATTCATCAATAATCTACTAGCTGATCATATTCATTTCCAGCTATCTAAAAAATATGTTCATTGCTGGCTTGTTGAAATCAGGTCCACTCATTACACTTGGCTGATAATTCCCTTAAGTGTCTTTTAATCTATAACAGTTACTGCAATCCCTCTCCTCATCCCAACTGCCATTCTTTTTAAGACCAAGGAACCAAGTTAACTGTTCTCCAGAAATTATCATATTCTGGATTTATCTGATAGCCTTTGTTGTATTTTAACACATTTCTCTAGCTCTCACATTACCCATAACATGACAGTTCCTTCTGCATTTTTAGCCATGATTTTGTATAATTTTCTCTTTCCCTCTTTTTCTTTTTTTTAATCAGCTTTCTCAGGTTAAATCTCTTATTTTTCCTTCTCACTTTATATTAAAACAAGTGCTACATCCATCACCTAATAGATGGACAGACAAAACATGGCATGGCCGTATAATGGAATACTATTCAGCCATGAAAACGAATGAAGTACTGATAAATGCTACAATACAGATAAGTCTTAAAAACATTATGCTAAATGAAAGAAACTAGTCACAAAAGGTCACGTTATATGATTCTATTTACAAGCAAAATGTATAGGCATTTTGTCAGAATAGGCAAATATAGACAGGCAAAAAACAGATTAGTAGTTGCTTAGTGATGGGGGTCAAGGACTAGGAAGCAAAAGGTAAAAAGTACAGGGTTTCTTTTTGAGGTGATAAAAATGTTCTAAAGTTGATTATGGCAATGGTCGCACAACTCTGTGAATATACTAAAACCCACTGAATTGTACACTTTAAATGGGTGAATTGTATGATGCCATGTGATTTATATCTTAAAACCTATTATAAAACAAAACCAGTGCCTTTTTGAGGTCTATCTTTTTGAGTGTCTATCTATACTGATATGATACAATCCTCAAGACTTCATGTTAAGTGAAAAGAGGAAATTGTAGAACATTCCATGCATGTAGTATGCTACCATTTGTGTTACAGAATAAAAACAATGTAGAATGCTACCATTTGTATAAAAGGACTATACACATACATATATATTTGTACATACAGGAATACAGACTATAAATTGCTCTATAGTCTCTTTCAAATTTTTACCATGTCACCTAACACTTTTTCAAATTCTTAACTACAAAAATAAAACAACAACATAAATTACTAAAAGCAACTTACAAGCAAAGCTGAGTGGACGACAGGAGGGTTAGGATGGTCCATAAATAAAATCAGGCCAGGCAGACATCCCTGATCCTGGACGATGGCTCTTCTATTTAATGGATCTGCTGCTAGATCCCGTAGCTGGTTAACTACCGATAGAGCATCGGGTTCTTCGCTCATGGTGGAGGAGGAAGAATTCATCTTCTATGCTATGCACATGAATAAAATCTTCTTAAATTCTGTAGAAAAGGTTTGCAAAATTAGTTCTAGGCTGTTGAGGTATATGATGGCATTTGTTAAATAACTAGGATTACAACACCTTTAGAAAGAAGCAGATGATTCTAAATCACACAAAAACTTAAGAACTGGCAACTATACAGTTTGAGAAAAGTAAAATGAACATAAGATGAGTGAAGAAATTTATGTGTGCACAATGTTTAAGGAACATATGTCATCCTCAATATTCCAATAAATTCCTTCTTAGCAATACATATTTTAACACTAAAGTCATAATAAACAAGATCTTTACAGTTCAAGCTTGTAACCTTCACTATACTTCTCAAACTGTAACACTGCCAGAGCTTTTCTTCCTCTAGAACATTTCTAGGCCTAAAACAAGTACCTCAGGGAAAAGTGGCTAGCTGAGAGCATTTTTTCTCACTGATCTTTGAACAAAAACTTAGCATACTGGGTCTACAAAAGATAAACACCTTTGGAAAAAGGAGGCTGGCAAGGAAGGCTATAAACCAAGAAGGGTAATATGCTGTGCCTCCGGCCAACAGAGTTTGAAAGATCACAGTGATTCTGGACTGAATCTAAGCACATGTGTCCATCTGAATGTGCCATATTCTACTGCCTAATAGCAAAGCAAGAATAGGAGGAATAAAATAGAATTTAAGGTAATTCATTTGTCAGAGAAGGAAAACAATCACAGAGAAGTTCAATAATTTGCCCCAGGTCCCAAAAGCTAGTTAGTATAGAACTGGGCTACAATCTTATTTACTATTTCCTAAATTGGTCAGCAGTCTTTCCACTTTCCATACAGTCCTTTTACGAGTCAGTATTTAAGGTAGGCCTGACACGTGCCTCATGCCTGTAATCCTAACACTCTGTTATCACTCAAGGTCAGGAGTTCAAAAACAGCCTGAGCAAGAGTGAGACCTCTGTCTCCACTATAAATAGAAAGAAATTAATTGGCCAACTAAAATTATATAGAAAAAATTAGCCAGGCATGGTGGGACATGCCTATAGTCCCAGCTACTCAGGAGACTGAGGCAGAAGGATTGCTTGAGCTCAGGAGTTTGAGGTTGCTGTGAGCTAGAATGACGCCATAGCACTCTAGCCTGGACAACAAAGTGAGACTCAGCAGCAAAAAAAAAAAAAAAAAAGCTGGTCATGGTGGCTCACGCCTGTAATCCCAGCACTCTAGGAGGCCGAGGTGGGCGAAGCACTCAAGGTCAGGAGTTTGAAACCAGCCTGAGAAAGAGCTAGACCCCATCTCTACTAAGAGTAGAAAGAAATTAATTGGACAACTAAACATATATAGAAAAAATTAGCTGGGCACGGTGGCACATGCCTGTAGTCCCAGCTACTCGGGAGGCTAACGCAGCAGGATCACTTGAGCCCAAGAGTTTGAGGTTGCTGTGAGCTAGGCTGACGCCATGGTACTCTATCCTGGGCAACAGAGTAAGACTCTGTTCTCAAAAAAAAAAAAAAAAAAAATCAATGAAAAATAATATTATTCATAAATGATATTAGAATAACTTCTTAGCAATTTTAAAACCACTGCAAAGGATCTTTAATTCAAACATATCAAAAAAGAATTACCTTATTTGTTAATTAACTTGATTTACTTATTCCACATTATAGTTATAGATCATAACATCACTCTGTACCCTATAAATACATATAATTATAAATTGTCAATTTACAATATTTTTAAAAATCAAGTAAATCAGGGTAAAAAAGGAACCAAACACTGAGTGAGGGCCTTTTATATACAGTACTGGCCTTGTAACTGGAAAATTCCATTCTCATCTAAGGAGTCATTAGATAATTATTCAATAGAACAATCCTGATAAAATTATAGCCTTCCTATTCCTCTGAGATGAAAAAAGTCGACAGTTAAAACTTCTAATCTTTAAAGAGTACTGATAAGGAGTGGGCTCAAATCAGGATCTGATTAGGAAAGGGTCAGGACTACCAGGCAGCATCAAAGATCTTAACCAATACAGTCGGCCCTCTGTATCCTTGGCTTTCACATCCTGATCATACTGTACAGTATTTTAAATCTGTGATCGGTTGAATCCAGGAATGCCAAGGGTCAACTGCCTGAGGCAGAAGCTGCGGTCAAGGGCTGCACGCCCTGTGGCATTTAAATGAAGGTAAGAAAAGCAAGCAAACAGAAGCTATGATTTGCCTCCCAAATTAGAAGGATTTTATATAAAACTTCAGTAAAGAACTCCTCACTGTTAAGAGTCATTTTGCTTTCTTTTAATATTCTTGATGATGGCAAGTTACTCTGACATCCATTTCTAACTACACATTGCCTGAATTCTGTTAAATGATCAACATTTTTATCATAAAATATTTTTTATAAGAACTGCTATGGAACAGTTAAGAAAATGAAAACGATAAGAAGTTATAACTTTAACCACAAGTCATTTTGTGTTTTTGTGTTAATTCTATCAATTTCACACAAACACTTAAATGGTTGCCTTCAAAGGCTGGAAAAAAAATGTTTTAAAATGATTATTTTAGGATTCTTTCTATCCTATCCTCTCTATTCCCAATTTGGTAGACCATAAAATAATTTTTAAATAACCTGAAATACACTGGTCTAAGCACTTTTACAGCAGCTAAAGAACTATACTGCAAGTAAAAAAAAAAAAATCTCTCTTCTCCTACCTTCTTTTACAGTAAGTACTGCATTAAGTTCAAGGGAAAATACATTTTTCTCTAGTTATGTTTTTATGCAAAACACTAACACCAAGAAGTGTGGACCTAGACAGAATAAACTGGGTTTATTGTTAAAAAGCAAATTCCGGCCGGGCGCGGTGGCTCACGCCTGTAATCCTAGCACTCTGGGAGGCCCAGGCGGGCGGATTGCTCAAGGTCAGGAGTTCGAAACCAGCCTGAGCAAGAGACGAGACCCTGTCTCTACTATAAATAGAAAAGAATTAATTGGCCAATATATATATATAAAAATTAGCGGCATGGTGGCGTATGCCTGTAGTCCCAGCTACTTGGGAGGCTGAGGCAGGAGGATTGCTTGAGCCCAGGAGTTTGAGGTTGCTGTGAGCTAGGCTGATGCCATGGCACTCACTCTAGCCTGGGCAACAAAGTGAGACTCTGTCTCAAAAAAAAAAAAAAAAAGCAAATTCCTAGGCCTTACCCAATCTGAAGTAGGAATCTTTGGAGGTAGGGCCCAAGACTTATTTTAAAAAGCACACCAGGTGATTTCTGCTGCAAAAAGAACCACTTAAACTTTATGCTGGTCTATAAATGTCTTTTAACATTATTATGAACACATGAAAAAAACCCTATGCATTAAAATTTTACAAGAGACTTTCTTTAATTACTGAACAACATGAGATTATGTGAATTTAGGACTAGGTTTCAGTTTTATTAACAGATAACCAAATTAATAAACTGGAGAAACCACTAGCAGTAGCAAATCTACCCCTTCCTTCCAAAGAAACTGACTGGAAGCTCTTGATCAATGGAACAAAATTGTATGAGAAAATCACAGTGGGGAATTAAAAGTGTGCACAGATTCTGTGTGGATAAAGAAACGGTTCTTAAATTGTTATTTGTCAGCAGTAGTATTTAACATTTTTTGGTCTGCTTTTTACTTTTAAGACCAGCACCTGATGTCATACAAGATAGTTTTGCATCCTGGTTCAAATATTCATGTATATTTTAAGATTTGTGGCTGCTAAACTAAAATTGCCAATACAAACATATTTTTTAAAAATTCATGGCCTCAGGCCAGGCGCAGTAGCTCACGCCTGTAATCCTAGCAGTCTGGGAGGCTGAGGCAGGCAGACTGCTCGAGGTCAGGAGTTTCAAACCAGCCTGAACAAGAGCAAGACTCCGTCTCTATTATAAATAGAAAGAAATTAATTGGCCAACTAAGTATATATAGAAAAATTAGCCGGCATGGTGCACGCATGCCTGTAGTCTCAGCTACTCAGGAGGCTGAGGCAGTAGGATGCTTGAGCCCAAGAGTTTGCGGTTGCTGTGAGCTAGGCTGACGCCATGGCACTCAACTCTTAGCCTGGGCAACAAAGCAAGACTCTGTCTCAAAAAAAAAAAAAAATTCATGGCCTCACTAGCAAATGATGAAACTGCAAAAATCTTTTTCCTTGTCTATGTTCCTGTCTTATTAGAACACAGTGGATGTACTGCATATCTTTACTTTCTCTTTTGTTTAGTTCAATTTGGACAAACAAATCATTATTAGACAATGACTGCTTCCCAACCTTTAATGAGCACTCTGATCACCTAAGGGATGATCTTGCTAAAAAGTAAATTCTCATTCAGTAGGTGAGATGAGGCCAAAGAGTTTTCATTTCCAAAAGCTTCCATCATAGGCCTATGCTGCCTATCAGGAAGTCACACATCGAGAAGCAAGGAGTTAGTACATGTGAGACACCTGTAATTTGGGCAGATGCCTGAAAGATTTTCTTTTGTTTCAGCCAAGATTCACCATTCAACTCACAGAATTATTTAGCTCTCACATGCTAAGAGCTGCAGAGCGTATACATACAACCTAAATCCATATTCAGTTAAGCGAGCTTTAATAAAATAAGCATTGGGATAAAATCTGGCTTTCCCTTTACTCAAAGATTAAATGTTGGGTTAACTCCTCTGAAACTCGGTTTCCTCACATAACAATCCTGAGCGGTTATCAAGATCAAAGAAAATAAGAACACGAGATGGCAAAATAGAACCCTGGTAATTAACCAAACCAGAACAATACTTGATCCTATGGGAACTTCTATTCCGCCAGGTATTGGAGGTAACTTCAGCGCTGTCCTGACACTTCAGTACACTACGTATCACGAGAAGAGTTGCTAACAGCCCGAATAACCAACCCCACGTGCAGCTTTTTAACTACAGAGATGTGAATACTGGTCTCTTTTGAATTAAGCCAAACACAACTATGTCCTCCCTCTTAGGAGAAATGCAGGTCCACAAAACTAATAGAGAGTTACCAAAGAATAACCTGGAGAAATGAAGAAAGGAGGAGATGACAACCACTAATAATGTTAGCGCTAGTATAAGTCCGGTGTGAGGGGGACGGAGAGGAAGTGAACAAAGCTGACATTTTCACGGGACACATGGGAGCAGGACGTTTTAAGTCGCCTCAATGGGACGCATTCTTGGGTTCTGACAAGAAGGCAGGCGGAACGCCCCCCACCCAGGTGGATTCTCTGCCTCGGCGCAGGTGCGGCTTTCCGCGGCCTTCCCGCCGGCATAGCTTTGTCTGCCGCCCATGGACCCTACATACCGCTCCAGTCTTAGAAGTCCAGAGCCTGCCGCACCATCAGGGCTACACCTACGGATGAGGTAGAGGGACCCGGGCGGCGTGGAGAGAGTCCCTCCGTTCGCACCCCGGCCTCGACGATCGCAAGTAACTCGACTAACTCAAGGAGCCAAAAAGAGAAAAAGCGGTGGTGGCGAAAGGCTCTGCAGAGTCTCTCCCAGTGACCCTGTCACCTCCATCAGTTCTGCCCTCCCATTGGCTGATAATGAGCCCAACGCGAGGATAAAATTTCCAATCAGTGAAGGTTTTTTTAGAGTGAAGCGCTCATTGGTGGTTTAGGGAAATACACCAAGTGTTCAGTGGACGCATCCAATAAGGACCCAGGAACATTAGATTGGACCTCGCGACTCTCCGTCCGTCAAGCACTAACCAAAGAGATTGATTCCAGCTAAAAAACCGTCGCGTTTCCCCTACAATTCCAGCGCCTGCCGGAAAGACCTCTGCTTGTGCGTACTGAAATTCAAATTGAATGTGTCTTCTTTAGCAACTCTTTCAGTTCTAATAAAGCAATTTCGTAATATTTCATTAGCTTTTGTAAGTCTTAATTCATAATCTTTTTAAAATTTTTGAGTTTTTTAATGAACATTAGCACTATTATTAGGCATTCTTAGGATTTCGTTCATTTCTTCTTGGTGTCTACTGTCTCCCTAGCAGCGCGAAGGCTGCATAGTACAGGTTTTAAGTAGCAATGTCTTTTTGGAACAAATTTCCTTTCTTTTTTTTTTTTTTTATTCTCGTAAGAGCATTCTGATAAGAGACAATTTTCTCAAATTCGTCTTGCAGTATTTTTTTAAATATTGTCTAATATTTAGCTTATCAAAATAAGGATTTAAATACTTGTTTTATCTATGGCAGTTCCTGTTTTTGTTATATTTGATTGTTTTGTTTAGGTATAGATTTTAATTTTTAAAGTTTCTCTAAATATAAGCGTAATCTTTACCCTCAGGCTAGTTTTGGGGAGTAATGTATCCATTGCACTCCATAACCCCACTAAAAAGATTCTGGATTCGCTCTTTTACAGATTGATTCTGCCACATAGCTCATATATATTAAAGTCAAAAGGAATATGAGAGGCCTCTAATGAGGAAAGAGTGTGGATGATAAATATCCCAGCCTGCGTTCTGTGCTAAATGTTAATATCTCCTGTACTTTGTAAGTGAATTAAAAAACCAAACGTTTACTTCTTCAATTTCTTTGTGTTCCCTTGTTCCCGGTTATCCTCTTCCTCCAAATATGCTCAAGAAAACAGAAGCAAAGTAGCTAAATAGAAAACAATTACTGTTTCTTTCACAGTATTTGACGTATAGCAGAAACAAGTCTGGCATGGTTTCTGTTTCCTAAAGCCACAAGAGGGAGTGGTGCTAGGTTAACGTTGAGTCTGAAATAGAAAGGTGATGCAAAATATCCAGTGGTAGAAGCACCAACCTCATTTGTAACAATCGGAGTTACGAACTGCTGGAATTGAGGGGGAGGGGAAGGGAAAATAAACTGTTAATGTAGAAATCTGTAAAAAAGTAAATATAAGAAGTCCAAAGGACACAGCTAGTTAATCATAACCTATCTGATAGAATAAATGAATTTTGTAGAGTATTGTTATTAAAAACAACTCAAAAACCCAGAAAAGTAAAGTTGCTATCTTTGCTAAGGTTAATTTGTATATTAGGAAGGGAACAGACATTTGGGATTTTCCCAACTAGTAATTGATGGCAGAGGTTTTGAGTACTGTCTTTTGGAAGTTCACAATCTAAAATTAAATGTAAGCTGGCTCATGCCTGTAATCCCAGCACTGGGAGGCCAAGGAAGAAGGACCACTTGAGCCCAGGAGTTTGAGAATAGCCTGAATAACATAGCCAGACTCAGTCTCTACAAAAATCATAAAATTAGTGGGCATGGTGGCTTGCCTTTGTTAGTTCCAGCTCCTTGGGAGGCTGAGGCAGGAGGATTGCTTCAGCCCAGGAGGTTGAGGCTGCAGTGAGCTATGATCACACCACTGCATTCCAGCATCAGTGACAGAGTAAGACCTTGTCTCTTAAAAAAATAAATAAATAACTAAACTAAATTTTAAAAAATAAATGTAATCATGCTTCTGTCATTAAAATATTGAGGAGACTGATTCTTACCGAAAACTGCCATTACAGAATAGAAGACTGGCATTAAAAAGCACGAGATGTATTCAAAAAATTACCAGTCTCTTAAACCCCTATAGGTTGCAAGCCACAAGACAAAAGTCTTTAAGATTTTATTTTATTTATTTATTTATTTTGAGATAGAGTCTCACTCTGTTGCCCTGGCTAGAGTGCCGTGGTGTCAGCCTAGCTCAGAGCAACCTCAAACTCCTGGGCTCAGATGATCCTACTGTCTCAGCCTCCCGAGTATCAGGGACTACAGGAATGCGCCACCATGCCTGGCTAATTTTTTTCTATATATTTTTAGTTGTCCAGATAATTTCTTTCTATTTTTAGTAGAGATGGGGTCTGGCTCTTGCTCAGGGTGGTCTCGAACTCCTGACCTTGAGTGATCCACCTGCCTCGGCCTCCCAGAGTGCTAGGATTACAGGCATGAGCCACCACGCCCGGCTGGTCTTTAGAATTTTAATAATTTATATTCCCATATTAAAAATGTCTGAAGTTGACACCAGTGAAGTTGTACTACCTGTTATTATGAGTCATTGCTTGTTCTTAGCCTCAGCTATCTTGCCATGGGACACAGCTGGAATGTCAAGTTTCTCAACAGCCGTGTTACTTAAGACACATAATTCAGATACTGGCAGTTTCATTCATTCAATTATTTAATCATTTTTCAAATGTATACAATGTGCCAGAGATAGTCTTAGATATGGATTCAAAGAAGGAAAATCATAATCCCTGCCCTTAAAAGCTAATGGTATAAGAAGCTCAAAGGCAGTGGTTTCCAAAATTTTTTGATCAACCCTTTCAGCTTGAAAAAAAAAAATTTTTTTTTTTTTTTTGAGACAGAGTCTGGTTCTGTTGCCTGGGCATCCTAGCTCACAGCAACCTCAAACTTCTGGGCTCAAGCAGTCCTTTTGCCTCAGCCTCCCAAGTAGCTAGGACTACAAGCATGCGCCACCATGTCCGGCTAATTTTTTGTATACATTTTTAGTTGTCCAGATAATTTCTATTTTTTAGTAGAGACAGGGTCTTGCTCTTGCTAAGGCTGGACTCGAACTCCTGACCTCGAGCGATCCTCCTGTCTCTGCCTCCCAGAGTGCTAGGATTACAGGTGTGAGCCACCTCGCCCAGCCAAAAAAATATATATATATATATTTTGAGCACATAGCTCTGACATATGTGTATGTATTCATAAGTTCTATGTATGCACTATCAAACTAATATGTAGATTTAAAAACACATCAAAATAGAAATTTTAAAATATAAATAAATGTGCCGGTAATCCTAGCACTCAGGGAGGCCAAGGTGGGTGGATCCTTTGAGCTCATCAGTTCAAGACCAGCCTGAGCAAGAGCGAGACCCCATCTCTACTAAAAAGTCAAAAGAGATAAGCTGGACAACTTAAAATATATAAAAGCAATTAGCAGGGTATGGTGGCGCATGCCTATAGTTCCAGCTACTTGGGAGGCTGAGGCAGGAGGATTGCCTGAGCCCAGGATTTTGAGGTTGCTGTGAGCTAGGCTGACACCACGGCACTCTAGCCCAGGCAATAGAGCAAGGCTCTGTCTCTAAATTAATGAATTGAAACTGGCTAACCATCTAGATGAAAATAAAATTGGGTCCATATATTGCATCATTTACCAAAACATTAAATTCCAGATGTATTAAAAACTCAAATCTTAGAGAGTACATATACAACCTAAAATTAAGTGGGTAACCTTAAACAAAACTAGAAATCCAGAAGTTAAAAGAGGTTGGGCACGTCAGCTCATGCTTGTAATCTCAGCACTTTGGGAGGCCAAGGCCAGGGATTCAAGGATTGCTTGAACCCAGGAGTTTGAGGTCACAGTGAGCTATGATCATGCCACTGTACTCTGTCTAGCCCAGGCAACAGAGTAAGACCCTGTCACAAAATAAAAATAGTAGAATGTTTTAGTAAATCATAATATATCTGGAAGTCAAGGACCATTATATAACCATTAGGAAAGATGGAGCTATAGGAAGAGACTTGGAAAAATGTCCACATTAAGTAATAAAAATAAAGTGCTGAAAAGATACATATATTATGATCTCATTTTTGAAAACAATAACAAATCAAATCCTATACATGATTATAGAAGTATGTATCTTTATATATTATTATATAAGCATGGAAAATATAGAGAAAGACATAATCTAAGCTTTTAGCATATATATTACTAGAATGAGTGGGACAGGATCTGGGAGACAGGAGCCCTCCACACAAAGAAAACTTAAAAATAAAATTAACTGTACTGGGGAAGGGTATGTTCGTAAATGTAGTTTCATACACAATGTGATAAGTTTGCATTAAGTGAAGTCGTATATGTAAATATAATGTTGTCAACACCTTTAACAAAAAGCCATGAGCCAGGTTATAAAGAAGAAGGGTACTTAGCAGTTCAGTGGGGGTCACAGAAACAGTTACCAATGAGGAGGATATATGATAAGTAAGACAGGAGGCTGGAGGGGTAACCAGGGAGCCCCAATTAGGAACTCATTGTCTGTAGGACATCATTTTCAAAAGCTACGTGGTACCATGTGGGTCAGACAAATCTGTGTTTGACCACTTTCTGGCTGTATGACTTTGGACTGATCATGGGGTTATTGAGGATCTCAGTCTCCCCTATAAGAAACAGAGATCATGGCACCTGCCTTCAAAGACTATTATGGGAATTAAATAAAATAGCATATATGAGAGTACCTAGCCTGTGTCTAAAAGATGCTCCATAAATGTAAATTCAATCCCACATCTCTCTATATAGAAATCTGTTCTCCAGAAAAGATCTGATTAAAGCTAATTTATTATAATAAAATTATGAGTGCTTACTGATACTGAAAAAAAGAAAAGGAAGAGAAATATTAATAAAATAAACATCACTGGCCACCTTTAGAGAATTTGAAGGAGCCAACCTGTTTTTCTGAAAAGTGATAAGTAGAAGGAAAGAATCATATCATGAATTATTCCAGACTCCCAGAAGTTAAAAAAGAAATGAAGCATTATACTTGCCTTTCTTAAATGAACTGTATTTCAAGGTAACAAAATAGTGGAATAGTGGACATGGGATAATTCTGAAAACTGGTAAATATTAAGAAACAAGCATTAGGCCAGGCGCGGTGGCTCACGCCTGTAATCCTAGCACTCTGGGAGGCCAAGGCGGGCGGATTGCTTGAGGTCAGGAGTTCGAAACCAGCCTGAGCAAGAGCGAGACCTGTCTCTACTATAAATAGAAAGAAATTAATTGGCCAACTAATACATATAGAAAAAATGAGCCGGGCATGGTGGTGCATGCCTTTAGTCCCAGCTACTCGGGAGGCTGAGGCAGGAGGATTGCTTGAGCCCAGGAGTTTGCGGTTGCTGTGAGCTAGGCTGATGCCATGGCACTCACTCTAGCCTGGACAACAAAGCGAGACTCTGTCTCAAAAAAAAAAAAGAAGAAAAGAAACAAGCATTCAACCTGCTTTACAAATGTACAAGGTATCTAATTAACAAAAGGAATGATAGAATATCACCATTTACTAATCCTAATGAGATCATGAATCCTAGATAATGACCATCAATAGCTGTTAATGTTACAAAGAGAAACACGTGAACATTATGTGCTTTCTGATAGAAATGCACACCACCACCTATGATGTATTCTTGACAAAAAACTGAATCTGAACCAGATCAGGCCTTTATATGTAACTACCAGTTTATAGAAAATAAAAGGAATTTGTTAAACGTCACCATAGGAATGCAATCAGCAAAACCCTAAATGTGGGAAATTTCTACAGGACAAAAATATCAGTTTCTTCAACAAAACCAAAAAGTGTTAAAGAGGACAGGGAAGCTGTAGACTAAAATAGATTTAATAGGCAGGGGGTAGGGGGATGCACAGGGTAAGGAGGAAAGAAGCAACAAGCCAACCAAGTTTTCCCCATCTCCTGCCCCCACTATAAATAAATAAATAAATAAAATAGATTTAAGAGACATATCCAAATGTGTGGTTCTTTTTGGATTTTATTCAAAATCAACTACATTTTTTTGTAAAAAAGACCACCTGGTAAATTTGGTAATTAATTAGATATTAAGAAATAATTATTGATGTTTTAGGTCTGATAATGATATTTCAGTAATGTTTAAAAAAGACTCCTTATCTTTTAGTGATATCCCCTGAAATGTTAATATTTATAGATGAAATTACATACCTGAGATTAGCTTTAAAAGAATCAAAGATCTATGCCAGTATAGATTCTTTAAAAAAAAGCAGGGGAAGAAGGGGAAGCTATGGATGAAATAGTAACTATGAGCTGCTGATTAATAAAGTGGCGGATGAATACATGAGGATTCCTTGTTTTTGTTTTTGTTTTTGTTTTTCGTGTTTTTGTTTTCTTATTTCTTTGAGACAAGGCCTCACTCTGTCACCAGGCTGGAGTGCAGTGGCGTAATCATGGCTTACTGCAGTCTCAAACTCCTGGGCTTAAGCAATCTTCCCACGATGGCCTCCCAAAGTTCTGGTATTACAGGTGCGAGCCACTGTGCCCAGCCAATTCTTTGTACTTTTAACTTTTGTGCATGTTTGATGTTTTCCATAATTACAATTTTAAAAACAAAATATAAAAAAAGAGCTCTATAGGTCAGAGTCAATCCCAAGAGCTGGTTAAGAGAAAGGA